CGACGGCCTGCCAGCACCGCCATTACAATGGCGATGTTTTTTTCTCCAGCGTCCAAGCAACAGAAGACGGCGGCGCCCGTTGCGCGCAGCCCCTGTACCACCGGCGCCACTGGCTCCGCGCGCCGCCGCGCGCCGCTGGACCTGCAGGCACGGTGTTGGAAAACAACGACGACGCATGTGACTCTCCAGACCTTAAGATGTGTTTGCACCGATCTCGGCCGACGGTTTCCCCTGACGTGTTTTCACTGCTGCTGTCGCTAAGTCTGATCCCTCTCTCTCGCTGGATCGATTCAGTTCCCATCCTGCCTCGCCATTCTCGCCAGAGGTCTGCCGCGCTGCCCTGATGCCCCTTCCCCGCAGGCTCGCACCCAGAATATCTGGGCGGCGCCGCAGCGGGCGAAACAGAAGCCCAACGCGGCCCCGATCCAATTGTACATGCGGCAGGATACCGATTGAGCTCAGGACTTGGTGCCCGAGTATGCGCCGGAGCCCTTGTACGCCATCCTGGTGGTGCACGACGCTTGCCCGAACGTGATCTCTGCGATCTACGCGAGTTTCGACGACTACTTGGCCGCGGGGCATACGAAAAACCCGCTGATGCCCCAAGAGTTGAAGCTCCCGAGAGCAGTGCGACATAGAAATCCACATCAAGACCTCCGCCGGGCAGAACTTCCGCTACAGGATGAACAGGGGGCACGGATGCCAAAAGTAAGCGTGCCATTTGTTCGTTCCCCTCATGCTAGAAACCCCGTGCTCTTACTGGGTCTGCCTTCCGCCCCCCCCCCGCCCATGCCGCAAGGAATACGGCTCTGGGCCTCTTCGTAACGCAACCGTCCTTCATTGTTGGCCCAGGAGGGATCGATAACAGCGTCGGCAGCTGGCAGCGTCGTCAACGTGATCCAACTGCGCTTTGGCTTTTTCGACTGGCGGGTGCCGAACAGGAACCCTTCAGTGGGCAAGACGCCTGGGCCGCCGGTGACCTCGCACAACGTTTGGCCATGCTCCACGCCCTCCCCATTACATGCGCCCCCCTTCTCCCGCGCGACAGATTGAGATCCACCCTTACAAGGGTGCGGACCTGAGCGCCCTCGAGACGAGCGGAACGGAAGAGATTGTCGTCAAGTTTCCCGTGAACGTCATGGACCCCGCGGCGACCCATCCCTGCAGCATCGTCAACGTTACGCCGCCAGCGAACTCCCGCGTCCTGGTGACGAAGGTCTAAGTGTTCAGCGATACGCATTGCATCTTTTCGTGGAGCGGGCGCACTTGGAGCTTCCGAGCCAGTTTCGACAGCAAGGGCATCCCGCTCTCGCAGGACCTCTCCCGACGACCTCCCCTGATCACATGATTATTGCCGCTGCCGCCGTCGCCTAGCCCCATCCCCTGTTCGATTGCGCCCCCCCTCCTGTCATCACACGTCTTGATGCCCCTTGACGCCCACCCTTTCCGCCACCGCAGGACGTACCTGGCCTTGTCTTCGCGCCATAGGACGCGTGGGACCTCTTTAAAGTCGCCAGCATGGTCTTCATTCGTAGCGTGTTCGTAGAGATCTTGCGGAACTTCGTCGTGAATTTCGAGCTTGAAGAGCCTACGGTTCTTGAGAAAGGCCCGGTGCTAAACTTCATCGACGAGCTCAATGCAGTGCCCAATAGTCACATCAATATGCTCTGATCGGGCGTCTTGCCATCACGGTCCCTTCCCCGCGCGGCGCGAGCACTCAGCCACGGCACGCGCGAGGCCAACGCATGCCGACGCGACCCCACCTCACATGCAAGCGCAACCACTCAATCACCCTCCACAACGTACGCGCGCATTCACAGTCGCACGCTGCATGCCGCAGTACGGCGCCACGTTTTTTGTTTTTTGTTTGTTTGTTCTTTTTTTATTTCAAACACTCGCACTGGGCCGCGAGTGCTTCAGCCACCTCCTCCTGCGCCTCCCTAGCGTATCTCAGATTCGCTCCTTGGCCCTCTACCCGCTGGACGCGCCGCGCCCTTCTGGCTGAAATTATGGCGTCAACGCAACGGCCCCGCGCCAAAAAGCCGCCAGCGTATGCATTCGGCCTGGTGGGCCAGCTTCCCTTCCATGCTTCTACAGTCTCGATCATCTTGAGACTTCTACCGCCTCCACCTTCTGCTTATTTGCTCATATCCACACGGTGGGGTTATTGTTATTGCTGTGACCGCACGGACCTTCCTTCCACACACCTTCCTCCCTTTTCCTCCGCCCCCTGATGACGATAAGAGCATGATGACGCCGATGCTTGCAGATGATGATGGCAAAGTGCTACGTTGCGCTATGTTATGTTACGGTATGATGATGATGGTAAGCATGTTGGTGATCAGGCTGATGATGGCCATGGTGGTGGTGATGATGACGTTGGGGATAATGATGCTGATGATGGTGATGATGGTGGTGATGTTCATGATGCTGCTGCTGATGATGATGGTGGTGGCGGGGCAATTTCGGAGGATGTCTCGAGCGAGCCGCGTGTTTCACAACCCCCAAGGGAGAGCAGTCAGGGGGTACTGCACACTTCAGTTCGCGCCAAAACTGCGGGGATGTCCCGAGCGGTTTGCCTGTTTGCGTGCCCAACATCCTCCGCTTTCGGAGCAGATTTGGAGGATGTCTCGAGCGAGGCGTTCGTTTGCGCCCCCAAGGGGGGCCAGATGTTGAGGAAGTCTCGATTGGTTTGCCTGTTTTGGCGGCCAGACTCGCAGGCACAGGTCTCCCCCTGGATACCACAGGAGGTTACAGCTGGCTCCGGGAGGCCCCAGGAGGCCACGGGAGGTCCCAGGAGGCATCAGGAGGCCACAGGAAGACGCAAGAGGCCACAGGACGTCCCAAGAGGCTCCAAAAGGCCTTAGGGAGCTCCAGGAGGCCTCAGGAGGCCCTAGGAGGCTTCAGGAAACGCCATGAAGCGCCAGGAGGCCCCGGAAGGCAACAAAAGGCCCCGAGAGGCCCCAGGAGCAGGAGGCCTCAGACGGACACAGGAGTGGCTCCAATCCTAAGTTTTCCACGTATGCTCATATAGATGTGGGCCTCACCTGGAGCACGAATGTTTGATGCTATACGTGTATATATATATATATAAAGAGAGAGAGAGAGAGAGAGAGAGAGAGAGAGAGAGAGTGTGTCCTTCTCCTGCGTATCCAATCCTAAGTGTTTTACGGAGTGTTCCCTGTATATTTGGCTTCCCCGGGGCCACGAGTCCTTGGTGTTTTGCTCGTGTTCGTATACATTGCCTTTTCATGCGGCTCCAATCCGCAAAGTTTCATGTATGTATGTTCCGATAGATTGGGCCTCTCCTGGAGCACGAGTCCTCCCCAGGGGGCCCCAGGAGGCTCCAGGAGGCCCCAGGAGGCCACACGAGGCCCCAGGAGGCTTCAGGAGGCAACAGAAAGGCCCAAGAAATCCCCAGGAGGCCCCAGGAGGCTCCAGGATTCCCCAGGAAGCATCAAGAGGTGAAGGAGGCCCTAGGAGGCCCCAGGCTCATGCGCAAAGACGCGCTCGTACTACTGAGACTCATTCACACCAATTCGCATTTAGATTCATTCCCAGACGTCAATATTCTAGCCCGCGTATGTTCGAGAACTCTTGCGCCTAGACACCTACGGCGGACATGTCCATGCGAATAGATGCTCATATGGGGAGCTCCACGCAGTGAATAATCAATCGCTTCGCCCACTCCGCTTGCCCATCTTGCAGCATCGCTGGCACTTGCTTGCGTGCTGGCTGGGGCGTGAGGGGCCTTCCTTGAGCCGCTTGGGAACCTCTTGGGGGCTCTGGGGTCATCCCGATTGCCTCTTTGGGTCCTCTTGGGCCCTTTTAGGGGCCTCTTGGTGCCTCCTTGGGACCTCTTAGGGCCGAGGGCCGGGACGCCCCAAGATGGGCCCAAGACGCCGAAGATTGGGCCAAGACGGCCCCAGAGGCGGCCAAAATGCCCCAAGAGGCCTCCCAAGAGGCTTCACAGCAGGGCCCCGAGCAGGAGAAATCGTCGACTTCCATTGTGTTTTTCAATGTTTCTCGCAGTCTCCCCTTTTCGCCGTCCCTGCGCTCCAAGACGGCCCAAGAGGTCCCCAAGACCGCTCCAAGACCACCGACGAGGCCCGCAAGAGGGCCTCCAGACGGGCCAAGAGGGCCCCCAGACGGTCCCAAGACGCCCCAAGACAGCCCAAGACGGCCCCAGAGGGCCCCGGGACGCCCCAAGATGGGCCCAAGATGCGCCAAGAGGGCCCCAAGAGGCCCCCCAGACGGCCCCAGAGGGCTCCGGGACGCCCCAAGATGGACCCGAGAGCCATATTGGACCGTCTTGGCCATTCGCGCCGCTCGGACCCCCGACATCTTGGGCAGCATTCGCCGTTCTCACCGCTCTGAACGCCATCTTGAGCCATCTTGGCCATTCGCACCGCTCGGGCGCCCCGACGAATCCACGCTCTCCTCCAGGCATCTTGCCATCACCTCGGAGCCTTCGCCTTCCAGAGCCTCGCGGGCTCAAACGGCCCAGCTGTCAGCCGCGCGTGCAACCCACCGGAGCCGTCACGACACGAAAACGTCACCATGCCATGTCAAGTGGCCCCCAAAGGGGTCTGCAAGCACTTTTTCGTTGAAAAATGGTCCGCAGGGCCCTTTGGCGCCCAGAGCGAGCCTACAGTAAGCGATAGAGGCCCTCGGAGGCCCTCTGAGAGCCATATTGGACCGTCTTGGCCATTCGCGCCGCTCGAACCCCCGACATCTTGGGCAGCATTCGCCGTTCTCACCGCTCTGAACGCCATCTTGAGCCATCTTGGCCATTCGCACCGCTCGTGCGCCCCGTCGAATCCACGCTCTCCTCCAGGCATCTTGCCATCACCTCGTAGCCTTCGCCTTCCAGAGCCTCGCGGGCTCAAACGGCCCAGCTGTCATACATGGCCACGTCTGGTGCCCCCCCCCCAGGAGCCCGTTCCTCCGAGAATCATTCCAGAAAGATACCGTGGACGGAGTCCACGGGTCAGCCCTAGTCAGCTACAACGCTGGGATCAGCGCGTGCGAGAAAGGCGAGCAGTGGCAGCGCGCTCTGTCGCTGCTCAGCGAGATGCGGGAGGCGGAGCTGGAAACCGATGTCATCTATAATACATTGTCCAGAGCAGCGCGTGCGAACAGAGAAAATCAATGCTGGCGGGCATCTCCGGCAGACTCCCGGACGTTGGCCCCTGGACCGCCTGGCGCCTCTTTCGCATGGCATCTGGTCCGCCGGGCGAGCTCTGAGGAGGCGCCCGGCGCCAGGCGCGGAAGACGCGCCCATGGACGCTCCTGAGCGGCGCCTCGATGGCTCATGGAGCCACCCAAATGGCTTCAGCAATGGGTATCAGCGCGCAAATTCAAAGATTATGGTGTGGTTTCTTACTTCCAAAGTGTGGCAAGGTCGGCTTTGCGGCTTCAGGGGGACTCCAGCACCGACCCAGAGCTCTCCAGAGGGACCAACCGCCTGAACCCTCAAGGGACGCCAAACGAAGGCCCAGGGGGCTTGCGAGGGCCCGAAGGGGACTCAGAAGGTCCCAAGAAGTTCCCGAGCTTAGGTTGGGACATTACCGCGCGGCCATATTCCTCAACAACCTATCTCTGTGCTTCTCCTTCCTGGCGCCCTCTCGGCCCTCGCGTATTCATCCGGATTCAACTGAGCAAGGGGGAAGGAGCGAGGAGGAGCGAAGTGGGAGAAAGGAGGATGGAACATTATAGATGTGCATGTCTACATATGTATATGTACACCTATATACTGATATGTCTGCGTTTAGTCTTTCCTCACGGCTGCTCCCACCTCTCTCCTAGATGTTCCATCGGTTCTTTGTCTCCTTCCTCACTTTGGCCTTCTTCGCCGCCGGTCCTCAGTTGTCGTTCCTTTCTTGGTTCATGCTCCGCGCTAATCGCTCCTTGCTTCTCCCTCCTCCATCCTGACTCGTCGCTCCTTGCCCTTCGACCCCCTCGCGAGCAGCAGGTTGCGCCCAAAGGTAGAAACAGAGCGAAGTATCCCCCTGCAGCATCAGACATCAACACCGAACACGGGTGGCACAAGGGCCGAAGCAGGCAGCAGCGGCGGCAGCACACAGCAACAGTGAGCAGTAGCATGCAGAAGGCCGCTTCGGCATGCTTCAGTGCGCAGAAATCTGCGCCTGTGATGGGCAGCGCCCTGCAGACACAAGAAACACAACCACTCAGCTCCAGCAAGCATTACCAACAGCAGTCAACACCATGCAACAGCGGCAGCAAGCAGTAGCAGGAACGGAACATCAACCACCACATAGTACCGGCATCAAGCAGCAGTGCCAACTTGTACAAATCAGCAGCACGCAACAAACAACATCATCTTGTAGTGCCAAGACAGAGCAACATGTACACCAGATATCGAAGTTTGCGACAAGCAGAACCACACAATAGCGAAAGGCAGAAAACGGCAGCCAGCGCACGGGCAACCAATCAAGAAAGCAAAGCAGGAAGCATGAGATTGGGTCACCAGATATGTGGACACCAAATTGCGCAAACAGGAAAACATGGAGAAGACAAGTAGACAAGAGATCCTCGCCTTTGTATGCGATACCGGACTCGTGGACTGTAGTCCACGTGGCGCCCTCTGACGGCTCCGCTTGGACCCCCAGCGGTCTTCCGAGCCGCTCACTGCATGTTCCTCACACTCATCGCAGTGTGCACCCATTTCCTGGCCTCTCGCTCCTCACTCCTCATTCCCGGCGGCAAAGTTATTCCGTCTCCGTCCTTGCATCTTCCACATGAGTTCTGCAAGAAAAACGGGGTCGACCCCGTCGGCATTGGCGCGCAAGCTGCCCGCGTAAGGTCGCGGGTAAGCGCCCTGATCTCAATTGTGGCGTGTCGCGCTGAAGGCCCGCGTGAGACGCCGCGTAGGGTCGCTATGTCGTCTCGCGTAAGACGAGCTCGTTTGTCGCTCACATGTCTCACATGCGAGTTCACGCGGCCGTACGAGCGCCCAATGAGTGCCCCAGAGAGCCCCTCGACATCTCCATCCTCCTCCCGAGCTCCTGCTGTGCCCTCGTTTTTCTTGCTCGTATCTCCCATCAAGGCTGCTCGGGCGCCGGGCCCGACGTCATCAGGAACGACTTTGACTGCATTCATACAGTATAATATACTTCCAGCGCCTTCCAACTTCAAGTGTCGAGAGGTTGTCCCTCTTGCCTCCTCTTTAGGGGGTTGGCGGAAGTTCAATTTACTTTCAACGCCTTCCTACTTCACATTCCCACCCACTTTTCCAACCAACGGGTACGCCACATGTCGGCGCGCCGTTTGTTCCGACGCGCGGCCTTCCGTCTTTGGGAGGGCGCCGCGGCCCCCAGGGCAAACGCCGCCTCGGGCGCGGCGGGCTCGCCGTGGGGTTCGCCACGGTGCTGGCTGCGTCTCCTTGGGCGCGGGACGCAGGGCTTGCAGTGGGTTTGCCGTGGCGTCGCCGCCGTCCACTTGGTCGCGTCGACGCATGCAAGTTCGAACGTATTTTGTGGGCAGCAGTCCCGGGGTCAGCCCTGGTAAATATTTTACCGACTTCAAACGTCCAGGAGCGGCGCGTGCCAGATGGGTGCCAAGATGAGCTGCCAAAATTGCTCCATGAGGGCCCCTGGGGGCCCCGGCGGGCCCCGAGACGGTTTCAAGATGGCCCGAGATGCCCCCCAGACGGCCACAGAGCTCGCCAATATGGCTTTCAGACGGCCCAACAGAACCCCAAGACGGCCTCACAGGGTCCCAAGACTGCCCAATGATTGTCCCTAGGTTTTCATTGGGTTTAGCAGTTACGCTTTTAGAGCTCCCGACGCTCCAAGACGGCCCAAGATGCCCCCGAGATCGCCCCAACAATGCCCAACAGGCCTCCAAGAGGATCCCCCAGACGGCCCAAGAGGGCCCCAAGACTGCCAAGGCGGTCCCCCCCAGACGGCCCAAGAGGGCCCGCAGAAGGGCAACTCGACCTGACACTCCGCGCCCTCCGCTCCAAGATAACCCCCGACGCCGAGACCGCCAGGTGCAGCAGGCCCCCCAAGAGACCCCCCAGAAGCCCCAGGAGGCCCCCAAGAGACGCAGATCAGGCCGCGCGAGGTCCCCGAGAAGCCCCAAGACACCCCATAACCGCCTCCATGGGGCTTCCGATGGAAGATCCCTCAGAGGGCTCTTGGACCGAGCCAGCCACAGAACAATTCGTCACCGAGGCGCTTCTTTTCCCCCCTTCGTTGGAGCGGCTCTGGTCTGACAGGGCGACCCGTCGGGGACTTCTCCCTCTGAGTGCTCCCGAGCAACCAGCCAGCGGGACATGCTCCGCAATGCCTTCTGCTTTCTTCCGAGCCTGCGCAGCCCGCGCGCATCCTCCAACCTCCTCGGACGGCCGCAGCCACGCAGCAACGTCGTCAAAAATAAGGCGCGCACGCGCCTCTTAACTTGCATCGTTGGCCCTGATATTGCCCCAAGTCGGCTCAAGACGCCTCCTCCCACAGCTCCGGTATCCCCCACAGGCCCAGCCGGGCTCCAAGGTGGCCCCAGAAGCAGCATGCAGCAAGCAAGACAAAATGCAAGCAGAAAACAAGCATCTTGCCAATCCAAACAGGCAAACAAGTCGCAAACACCACTAGCAGCAGGCAGTCGACAGAATAACAAGCAGCATACATCAACTCCTCGAGCCTCCTACCCAAACGCCCCCTCAAAATTCACGGCACCCCTGAGGAATCGGCCCCTGGACCCTGGGGTGTCTGTCCACACCGGTCTCTCACCCCAGATCGATGCTTGACGGCTTCAGAGCCCGAAACACGTCCCAGAGCCCGAAACACGTCCCAGAGCTACACCCAAAAAAAAAAAAACAAGGGCGACAAACCTTCTCGAACCTCAACGCTCCTCGCCCATCTCTCCTCGGACGTCGCTCCTCCCTTTTCCCTCTTCGCTGATCGCCCATTCGCGCGATCTTCTCGATGCTCTCGATTCTGACTCCTCGCTCTTCGATGCTCTCCCTGCAGCTTGTCTCGTATGAGCGCTGATGTAGCGAGAAGTTGGATCAGGCTGGGGGTCTGAGGTGGAAACGGATCCGGGGCGAAAGGCTTAGCAGATGCGCCCTGGGAGGGGTCCGCGGACCGATTTTGAGCGGATCTGCCCCTGTCCCCCCCTCTTGACCGATTTCCCGTGGGCTCATCCAGGTCAGACCCCCTGGCCGCCTCCAAAGTGAATCCCAAGGTGTGGCCCACGCCCTGAGAGAGTCCAGCGAGACCACAGGGGGCAGCACGATGATGCCAAGCCGGCCCCGAGAGGCCCCAGGAGGGTCCCGAGATGCGGCATGTCCCTGCTCAGAGACCGGGGCAGCAGCAGAGCTGGCAGCACCAGACGCCAGGGGGCAGTCTGCGCATCCGGCGGGAATGGTCCACGCGCAGAGGGGGGGAGGGGGGAGGGGGGGAGGGCTTGTTCGAAGCACCCTGCTTCTTAGAGGGCGCGGGCCTTCTCTATAGATGTAAGGCCGGCGCCTTCTAAGAAGCAGCCTCCTTCTAAGAAGGCTTCCCCTTCCCTCCGCCCCCGTGTGCGCGCTGCCAAAGCAAGTAGAGACCTCCGAGCCGCACCCAAGCGAGAAGCATCGCGCTGCAGCATTAAGCAGCAGCAGCGACTGGCAGGATCACGAAGTGCACAGCAGCAGCGGGAACGAACACCAACAAGCAGCAGCAGCAGCAGCAGCAGCAGCAGGCACCTGGCAACAGCACATAAAGCAGAACTGGCCAGCACAAGGGCCAGTTCGATTCGATGTGACATCGATTCCCGCCAGCCCGGGATTATCGACGCTGCAAGGCGGCCCAAGAGGCCCCCAAGAGCGCCCCAAGGGGGCCCAAGAAGACCCCCAGACGGCCCAAGAGTCCACTAAGAGGTCCCAAAGAGGGGGGTTCCAAAATTACATTTTGCGCCCTCCGCTTCAAGATGATCCCAGAAACCACCAGCAGGCCCCCGAGAGGCCCTCAACAAGCCCCAGGGAACCCCCTAAGAGACCCAACTCAGGCCCCACGAGGCCCCCGAGAGGCTCAAGACACCCCCAAAACCGCCTTCCAGAGGCTTCCGAGGGAAGACACTTGAGAGAGCTCTGGAACCGCGCCAGCCACCCAGGAAAATATGGGGCCCATGCGCCTCATAGTTTGCCTTTTTTGGATAGGCTCCGGTCTGAATGGGCGACTTGTCGCGGAGATCTCCTAGAGAGTACTCCAGACAGGCTGGCCGTTGGGGGCCTGCTCCGCAATGCCTTGGAACTTCTTCCGAGCTTGGGCAGCCCGCGCCCATCCTCCGACCTCCTCGGGCGGCCACAGTCACAATTGAACATCGCTGGGAAACAATGCCCACATGCCTATGCTTCTCACTTTCCAGCCTTGGCTGTAATACGGACTCCAGGCGGGTCAAAATCGTCCTGGGGCGGCGCAAATCGCCCTAATGAACCCAGCGGCAGAGCAGCGCCAGCACACAACAACAGCAAGCAGCAGCAGCAGCAGCAGCAGCAGCAGCAGCAGCAGCAGCAGCAGCAGCAGCCGGTAGCGGTACGCACCAAGCAGACGTGGCCATCAGCAGCACCCTGCAGCCAGAAACAACAACGTCACGCAGCAACGGCAAGCACTACCAACAGCACGCAGCAGCGGCAGCAAGCAGCAACACGCAGTAGCATGCGCGGAACGCGAGGGTCGAGCCCCACGTTGCAAGGTCAGCCCCAAGTTGTAATGTCAGCCTTTCGGCAGCATGTCCACAATCACGTGTCAGTTCCAACAGATTTCGTGGGCGGATTCCACGGTTCAGCCTTAGTCAGTTACAGCGCTGGAATCAGCGCGTGCGAGAAAGGCGACCAGTGGCAGTGTGTTTTAGCGCTGCTCAGCGAAATGCGAGAGACAAAGCTGCAGCCCGACGCAATGAGCTTCAGCGCTGGGATCAGCGCCTGCGGGAAAGGTGAGCAGTGGCAGCGTGCTCTGGCACTGCTCAACGGGATGCGGAAGGCGAAGGTGGGGCCCCACGTAACCTATACAATGTTGGAATGTGAGCGTGTGAGGTACACAGGCCACCTGTGGCAGGGCCGCCCCAGACTACCTCAGACGGCTCCGCAGCTGAGCTGCACTGATACGCCCGTGCTGAAACGCAACACGTACGTGTTCCGTATGTTGGCTCTGCACGTCTAGGCCCACGTTTTGGCGAACGTATAGCGCCAGCCTTGAATTTCCAGTCTACGTGTTGGCGATTGTATCAGCACGTTACGTGTTGCGTGCCGCGTATCAGGGCATCTAAGCTCCGCAGAGCTCCAGACTGACCGAGACAGGCTCCGAGACGAGTCCAAGACTGGCCGAGACTCCCCCAGACGGCCAGGAGTGTCTCCACGATCCGCGCAGGTCCCTTGGGAGGCGAACCTCGAGTAGATGTAAAGGCCTTGTGCTCTGCTTCGCTGTCCCTAAGAAGTGAGCACCTTGAGCGGAAGAGGTGAAACGGCGGACGGCATGTGCTATGTTCCCCGGTAAGTTTGCACCCACCCCGGCGAATTGACACATTCCCCGGCCGCATTTGGGAATCGATCAGTTCGTCGGGGCATATACCAGAAGGTCCCCAGAGGCTCCTCAGAAGCTTTTCGAAGGCCGTCCAGAAGCTCACCAGAAGCTCCTCGGAAACTCCCTAGAAGGTCAGAGTGTTTCAGAGTACCAGGGGATGTATCGGCTTACCAGGGAACGTACTTTTTTGCATGGGGGGGACGTCGGCAAGGGGCAGTGGCGGCGGCAATGCGAGCGCGGAAATCGAATGGTCTACGGTCCACCTCGCCACTGCGCTTGGGTCGTGTTCCAGAGATCATTGGGGACGCCTGGAGAGATCTTGGAGGCTTCTGGGGCCCACTTGGTTGCGTCTTGGGACCTCTCGGGGCCTCTCGGGGGTCTTGGCGTCCAGCGGTGCGTCAGTGGTGTGTTTGGGGGGCCCCTCTTCGGCCGTTCTGGGGGCCTCTTGGCCCCCTCTTGGGGGCCGCTTGAGCCGTCTTGGAAGCTCTCGAAACTGATGTGACGAGACTGTGGGGCTCAACACGCAGACCGTCCGTGATGCGGCCGATGCTGGCCAGGAGATCTCCAAGACGGCCCGCGAGAGAATCCCGAGTCTGCCGCGGTCGGCCCCTGGAGGGGAGGCGCACCCCGCCCCGTGGGACCCCCGCGTGGGACAACCCCCCCCCCGTGGGACCCCCGTGGACTCTCCCTGGGTCCACCCCGGTGGGGAGGGTCAGGCGGTACGTAAGGGGGGGGGCGATAAGGGCCGCTTTGGGCTCGGGAGGGGCTGTCTGGTCCTTGGGCCGTTGTGTGGTTGTTCCCCTGGCCCTCGTGTACCCAGGCGTTGCTGGCGCCAGGAAGGGGTGTCGATCCTGATGCAGCGATCCCTATTTCAGCAGCCAGTTGGACACATAGGAAGACTTGCAAACCACATCCCGAAAGAGTGCCGCAAGATATACATCCCGAAACACCCCGCGGGGGGTGCAGAAAGGTGTACATTTCGTGTCCCTGCTTAAAATGGGCACGAAAGCTGCACGTTCCCCCTCCTCCAACATTTATCGTCACACTCCCCCTCAGACTCGTGGGCGACAAGCATATCCGTATCCGCGGCCTCCCAAGCTGGGGCTTTGGGCCGCGACCCGCGGATACGGGGCGTTTTTTCGCGGATGCCCCGCGCAGGACGCAGCCGTGCGACCCAGTATCCGCGGGATCGCGCCCCGGAGTCTTGACGGCGAGGGCGAGCTAGCAGCACCCTCGGCAAGGGGAGGCAGTCTCCGCAACTGTCAGCAGGAAGACACTGGAAGCAGTCGGAACACTTACCACCAGCACGTCTCTTTAGTAGCAGGTGGCAGCACGAAACATTTGCCAGCAACACGACAAAGCGATAGGAGCAATCAGTATCACGCAGAGGCCACAAACAAGACGTCGCATCGCAATCAGTATCACGCAGAGGCCACAAACAAGACGTCGCATCAAGTAGCAGCATCCCACAGGCGGGCACGATGGAGATATCGGTTTTGCCCGCCGTCGATGCAATCTGCGGCGCACGTTAGTCGGATACAACGCTGGCATCAGCGCATACGCGACTGGCAAGCAGTGGCAGCGGGCTTTGGCGCTGCTCTGCGAGACGCGGGAGGCGAAGCTGGAACCCGACACCAGCTCTTCTACAATACAATAGCGGTCAGGCAGGCCCCAGAGCTAAGTCAGTAAAAATTTGCCTAGCGGACCCCTGGGCAGCCAATGGGCAATGCCCATGGAACTCGGACGTTGCAGAACCAGGATTTTGACCGTTCCAGCTGGAGACAAAGAATCATGGAGAACTCTTTGCCCCGCGGCTGTGGCTTTCTCGGGCGCGCCGATATCCTGGTTGATCCAGGTCCGCGTCTACGGGGCCCTGTCATTGGCGCCTTGAGGGCGCTCTGGGTCACCTCCCGTTGATCAGCTTCAATCAAGCTGCTGCGGCCGAGAGTCGAGGTGCGACGTGCGTCTTTAAGTATATCCCTCGACGCCTCTGGTCAGACAGCAAGGCAGAATGTCCAATGTAGGAAAGTGGTCCGGACAGACGAAAGTCGACCTCTGTCTGCTTGCAGTGTGCTTTACGGGCGTAGCCCATAAGTTGATTGTCGTATGACTGATTGAATTGAAGTGATTGAGCAGAGCTGAATGGTCATGGCCGTCAGATGTCAGCATTACCTTCTGCTGGGGATGGCATGTAGCCGGCAGTTTTTCAATCAGGGTAGTGTGAAGATCTTGCACAGGCGCTTGTAAGCCGGGGTGGTGAGGATGTGTCGCTTGCACGTTGTGGCCAGGGGGGCAATGATAGTTTGCTGGCATGTCTGAGAAATGGCGGCCAGGGGGGGAGGGCGAGAGCCCTTTGCTGGCAGTTTTAGGGCAGGGCGGTGAGGATACTTCGCTGGCAGTTTTAGGCTAGGGTGCTGAGGATAGTTCGCTGGCACTTACGGCCTGGCCCGACGTGTAATCCCGTATCCGTATGTAGAGTATGTATATGTGTATGTATGAACAGATACGTATCGAGTGGCAGTTTTTTTTTGTTGTTGGACACCGCGCGCAGAACAAATAACACGTGGGGAATTGCGGGAGAAGGCTGAAGTGAAAGAGCAGGACAGCGATGATGAGGGATGATGTAGAGGAGGCGGAAGAGGCGTAGGAAACAGGAGGATGAGGGGTTTTGATACGCTAGTGGTGAAGGACATGAGGAGCGGTGGCGCAGCGGTGCTTCCACTTACGGGTTCTTGCATTTTTCACAGGAGCTCGGCTCTGTTGCCAGGTCCGCCGCCTTGTTGTCGCCGCCACTGCCCTGTCGCCGCCTGGTCGCCGGCAGTTTTTGGGGCCCCAGTGCCGGGTCCGCCGCCTTGTTGGCAGCGTCGCATCCCCGTCGCCGTTTTGCGTTACCTTGCAGTGTGTTGCGTTACCTTGTATTGCATTCCATGCATTGTTGTGCAATGCCTCGCACTGCTTCGAACTATTTCGCATTACACTGCACTGCTTGTAGTGCTGCGTTTGGTTGCGTCGCTTGGCCTTGCAGTGCTTCGCGTTGCCTTACATTTGCTTGCGTTGCATTGCATCATCTTGCGTCGATTTGCATTGCTTTACGTCTCATTTCGTTACGTTGTTTCGCCCTACTTCGCATCGCATTCCATTGCGTCTCCTTCCTGTACGTTGCTTTGCATTGTTTGTCAGATGCGGTGCCTTGTACTACTTGGTATTGCGTTGCGTTGTGCCACATAGCTTGCGCCACAAAGCCTGCACGACATTACTTGCGCCACTTCGCTTACACCACATAGTTCACACCTCGTAGACTGCACTACATATGCTGCACCACTATAGCTCTCACCTGTACATAGCACAGCGCAGGTGGCAACACTGAGACTGAAATACGCCGCTTGCACTACACAGATCGGACCACATGTATGGCACCACGTACTTTGCGCCACATAGTTTACACCATGTATTCCCGTATGTTCGCTCCTGCCGCATTTGTTCAATCACATACATTACACCACGTGGCTTCCATACCATATATTCTGCTTGCTGTAAAGCGAAGTTCGTGCAGACCACCCACCCACTCCCCGGTCTTATTGCCGGATCGTAGGCTTTACAAATGAGTTTGCGCCATCGTTCATGTTCAGATTGATTTCACCACGTTCCAGCCAGGTTGTTATCTCCCCCCTCAGTGTCAAATGATACCATGCTGCCACACCCCACCAGTCTCCATCAACCCTTTGCAATAAAAAAAGTGCGACAATGTCGACATGCGCGCGTCGTCCCGCGCGCACACTGTAATAGTTCAGAAACCATAAGATCCGTATCGGTGATCGCTCGAGGGTCCCAACACATATAAACCACCATGACTTGTGCAACATCAATTTCAAATCAGTGCGCGCGAGAGCTCGCGAGTTCTCATAGGAACCTTCGGCTTTTCAACATCTTCATCAAATCCGACCAAGCGGGCCGTGTGCGCGCGCGCATGTAGAAATCTTTCGTGCGCCCTCGCGCACTTGCCAGCGGGGGGCACGATCCCTGTTACAAAAATACCAAGCGGGTCGCTCCGGCGCGTCGGCCGCGCGCGCGTGTCGAGCTCCTTCAAACATTTTCATATCCGGCGCGTGGACACTATCATCGTCATCGGCGTGACCAGCATCGTCGCCGTCATTGGCCTCGCCGTCGTCATCGTCGCCATCATCGCTTCCATCATCATCATCGGTTCCGCCGTTGTCGGCGTCACCACGGCACTGCGCCCACCAGGGTCACGGATTCGCAGTGAACCGCCCGCGCGCCAGCGCGGCCTGTGAGACGCGCTGGGAAGTCCCCATCGGTGAGCGCCACCGCGGCCGCGTCGGTGGTGCGAAAGTCGGAAGTCGCTGGTCGTTGCGCCCGCAAGCAAGCGAGCGCCAGCGCGGCCACAGAGATGCGTCAGTCAGCATCAAGCACTCATTGCAATCGCCGCCGTATGGGTTTTGAAAACCAAGCTGCGGGTGAATGGGTAGGAGTGATGCGTGATCAGTGGAGTTGGCATCACCAGGTTCTTCAACATTCCTTGCGCCACGTAGCACGCACCGCAAATCTTACGCCATCTATCTTGCACCACTCCTTCGCCTGCTGCGTTTTTCTATTCTGCACACTCGTCTTGCCGATATATGAAACTACATCCAAGGCAGGCCGGAGTCGCCCCCCCCCCAGTCATCCTCTGCAAGAATTATTTGCGCGCGCATTCGTTTATCAAAAACCATTTGTATCCAGAAAAACCTTTTGCAACAGATGGGGCGAAGTGCGCGCGCGTCGTCGCTCTCGCATGCAACAATCCTTCAACAACCTTGTTCCTTGTAAAAAACATATGCAGTCACAGGGTCTCGCAACAATAATGTCAAAAAAACCTGCGCCCGCACTCCTGGCGAATTAATGCGGAAACCATCGAATCTTCAACATTGTCATACAATGTTACCACACGCTTCTGTCGCGCGCGAGTGTCGAAATCAATCAGAAAACGGGACGAGTTGCACTTGCGCGCTTCGTCGCGCGTGAAAGACGATATTTCTTCAAAGTCATTGTATTTGCAAGGATGTCAAATTCGAGTGCCCCGGAAACCCGTCAAACACATAGTAGTGCAACAACAGTTTTCGAAAAATCTTGCGTTCGCGCCCTTGGGGACGCACAACAAAGAAATGCCAGTTTTTTCAATTCAATTCTGCCAAACGGGCCTCGTCGCGCCTCATGTCGAAATCATTCGGACGCCTTTGCGCGCGTGCTGGGGGGCGGGGGGGGGCACGGTTCGTATCAACGAGTATCATGCGGGCCACTCGCGCGTCTGCCGCGCGCCCATGTCGAACATCTTGATGATCGGCGCAAGGACGCTGTCAGAATCGCCGGCGCGGTCAGCACCGGCGCCGTCACTGGCTTTGCCGTCGTCGATGCCATCATCGCCATAAGCACCACTACCATCATCATCCAGTTTGCCGTTGTCGGTGTTGCCACGATACCGCGCCCGCCCAAGTCGCCGACTCGCTTTGATGTGCCCGCCGGGAAGTGCCCATCGGTCAGCGCCACCGCGGCGGCGTCGGTCGCGCCAAACGAGCTGGTCGCTGCGAGTGCGAGCATGCGCGGGCTAGCGCGGCCGCAGAGACGCACCAGCTAACACCAAGCACTCATCTCAATCTCGCCGCATGGGTTTGCAAACTACGTTGCGGTTGGGTGGGTGGGACGGTTGCGCGAGCATCGGAGTTCAAAACTGACGCCAGCGGAATTCAGAGGGTTCCAAGACGGCCCACAAGAGCCCCAAGACGACGCCACGGAGCCCTGAAACGGACTCACAGAACCCCAAGACGGCCCCAAGAGAGCTCCGAGGGGGCCCCAAGAGGCTCCCAAGACGGCCTCAGGCAGCCTCAAGAGAGATCCAAGACGGTCCAAGGCTTCCCGGACACCCCGTGACGGCCCCAAAAGGCCCCGAAACGTTCCAACACGCTCCCAAAGCAACCCAAACAAAACTTCAGAATGGCCAGAAAAAGACCCCCACAAGGACCACCAGGCAGGCCCAGAGACGCCCACTAAAAGAGCGATCGGTGAAGTACAAAGCTCTTCTCACCAAGGCTCCCATGAGCGAGCCGCACCGTAGAGAGCTCTCCTAGGCACAGCTCCCAAGAGCGAGCGGTGACGTGACCAGCCCTTCACACAGGGGCTCTCAAAAGCGAAGGTCTCTCAATGGATGGCCCCAGACGGCCACAGGACGGCTCCCGTGGCGCCCAGACAGCCCCAAGAACGGCCAAAGATGACCCAAGAGGGCCTCCAGGTGGTCCCAAGACTGGCCCCAAGAGGGCCCCAAGAGGACCCCAGGAGGCCACAAGACGGCCCAAGAGGGCCCCAAGAGGCCCACAGGAAGCCGAAAGGAAACCCCGAGAGGCCCCCAAACAGTTCCCAAGGAGAAGGCAGCGCCCGCCATCAGGCTTCGATAAGGCAACCAGAAAACAGTCACCAGAGCCCTCCAGGTGACTTTTTTCAAGGCCCAAGGTATTCTCAACATTGTTCAAGCCAGGGGGAGCAGACAAGCGGGGAGAGGCACATCGCAGACCCATCATAGCCGTCTGTGGCGCTCCAGGCGGAGTGGAGCGGAAGGCGGGCGAAGAGGAGGAAGCGCCCGCCTTCAACTTCGGAAAGGCGGCCGGAAAGAGTCACCGAAGGCTTCGGGGTGACTTTTTCTTGGGCGGGGGCCCAATGTGGAGGCGCGCCAGGGAAACCCGCCGGTCGTGGACGAAGTCCACGGGTTCGCCCTAGTCAGCTACAGCGCTGGGATCAGCGCGTGCGAGAAGGGCCAACAATGGCAGCGGGCGCTGGCGCTGCTCAGCGAGATGCGGGAGGCGAAGGTGGATCCCAACGTCATCAGCTACAACGCTGTGGTCGGTGCGTGCGGGAGCTGCGAGCAGTGGCTGCGGGCTTTAGCGATGCTGAGCGAGATGCGAGAGGCGATACTGAAGCCTGACATTACCAGCTACAACGCTGGGATCAGCGCGTGCAAGCAGGGCGACCGGTGGCAGCCTGCTCTGGCGCTCCTCAGCAAGATGTGCGAGGCGAAACTGAGGCCCAAGGTTTTCAGCTACAGCCTCGTGATCAGTGCGTGCGGGAACTGCGAGCAGTGGCAGCGGGCCCTGGCGCTGCTTAGCGAGATGTTGGCTGCAAAGACGGAGACCGACGCCATCTCCTTTACAGTCGAGACGCTGCAATATGGACCGATTTGGTCGCAGGAGGTGCTCGGATTTTCGGGGCGCTCCCTAGGTCTAGTTCGGGGAACCTCTTCGTGACCGAGGCTCGCCGTGGCCAGAAAAGCCTCTTCGTTCCTTACTCTGGTTTCCTTATGGTAGCACGCTGACAATATACTGCAGGAGCCCCTGCGTGCCAGAGGTGTCCGGGATCCATCGGCGGCACGGGGCCCCGAGAGGGCCCCGTGAGAGCCCCCGCACATGAGCCTTCACCGAGCCTCCGGTGGGGTACCCGCAACCCTTTGGCGCGGTCCCAGCGAGCCCCTGGATGTTCCAGAGATCGCAGTCGCTAGGGGTGGAAAAGGTACAGATACCGCTATACGTCCTTTGTATTCCCAGGGCCCTCCCCCCCCTCTGTGGTACGTTACGTTCGCGTGGTGTCGACCTGGCGGCGACCCCGCCGCCTGCGTCCAACGTGGAACGCTGGTGGCGAGTCAGAATCGGTCGATGTTACATGTGGAACGATCTGACGTTTCGGAGTCGGACAATCGTTCGAGGCTTTGAACGATCCCTGCGGTGTCAGAAACCAGCGCCGAAGTCGGCACGACAATATCTTGCCGTGCGGCTCCAGATCTCCCGCAGGCGCCACCGCAGCGGCCCTCACGATTTGCCCAAGACGCCCCAGGGTGACGTCAAGGTGGCCCTAGGAGGCTCCAAGATGGCTCCGCTCAAAGGCCCCCCAAAAGGCAAAGTCCGTCAGGAGCCAAGACTCTCCATTGTTCCGGTCCCGACGGCTCCAGGCAGGGCCCCAGAGGTTACCGAGAGGCCCACAAAATACTCCAGAGCTCCCAAGACGCCCCCCCCCCCCAGATCCTTAGACGGGTCTGGCTAGCCTCTAAGATGCCCCAAAGACGGTCCAAAAACGTTTCAAGATGGCCCCAAAGCACCTCCCAACTGCCCCCAGATCCCCCTAGTGGCCGAAACGGACGCCTCGATAGCCCCAGGATGTGCCCAAGGAGCCCAACCAGCCACAAAGAAGGCCCCACATTGGCCCCACGAGGACCTTAGGAGCGGCCAAAGAGAGCACCGCTTGTTCGGCCACACGTGTGTCTATGCAATTTCGTGCGCTGGTCGCTTCTGAAGCCTCTCTTCTTGTATCCTCGCCCCATGCTCCTCGCTCCTTTCTCGCTTCCCACCAATATCTCATGTTTTCTTGCTCTTCTCTTGTCACTCCTCGGGCTCCTCTTCTGGCTTCTTGCGCTCCCTCACTCGTAATCGCACCTACTTCCCCCTCCTCCCTCCTCGCCCCTCTCCTCGGCTGTCGCCCCTCCCTTTCCATTATTATCGTTCCTGCTTCTTCCTCTTCCTTGGTGGATCCTGACTCCTCGCTCCTGGCTGCTCGCCCCCCGTTCCTCGATTCTCTCACGAGCAGCAGGTTCCATGCGCAAGCAGAGGTAGCGATCGGCAGCACCCAGCTGCAGCTACACTCAACAGTGGATGGCAGCAGCCTGCAGCACGAACCGAGTAGCAGCGGCAGCACAGTGCGACAGCAGGCAGCTACATCTCGCAGGCAGCAGCAGCAGCAGCACGCAGCACCACCCAAGACCAGGCAGCATCACGAGCTAGCGTCAGCATTGCCATCGCATATCCATGACCAAATAGATTCATCACCATCGTAATCGTTATCGTTCTGGACGTCATCATCGTCGTCATTGTCGATGTGGTCGTCCTTGTCATTATCATCGTCATCATCACCACCATCACCATCATCGACTCACCATCATCGTTTTGTCGCGCCTATGTCGCCCTTATCATTAGCATCACTCCCCGCCCGAGCCATACATCCGCATGGGGGGGTCTCCTGCATCAGTGGGCAGAATTTGAAATGCGAAGAAGTTCGAATGGGTAGCTGCACTCACTGGTTGTCAATGTGTGCCAGCAGGCTCCGGGCGGACGGGTGGGGATGTATGCCCTGCCATTGAAGTGCGCTGGCGCAAGAACCAAGAAGTTACTTACGCAACGCTCAGCCATTTCTCGTATGGAGACGCTGCATATCTCTCGCACAGAGGCCACCTAGTTCCATGTCAGTTGGCGCGTCATCACTCGCAACCGCCCGTCCAATAGTACCATTTGGAGCACATATGTTTGTCTACGAAGTGCATTTTGACAGAGCCCCTGCCGAGCAGAAAAATGCTGGCCGCGTGCGCACATAAATGTCCACATCCGTCCAGAACCATGTGTCCAATGTGATTGGCGCAACATCAGTAACCGCTTGCATCCTGGTGAGAATTGCCAGATGTGAGCGCACGCGCTCTCAATGAGCTCCTACCGGAAGAGTAATTTCGGTGCCCTTCGCCATGCCGTTTATACTGGAAGACATGCGGCCGGTCCGCGTGCGCAATTCGACATCTTTCACTGGTGGGAGTTCCTGCCAACTCTGCCAAGCAAATCCATGTGGGCCACGCACGCGCGTCTCCGCGCCCACGGCTCATCCCTTCCCACACCATTGTCTTTCATGCATGTCAACAATGTGTCCACAGCAGCATTTGAAAGCCCAATGGTCTTTTGATATTATGTGTGCCACGGTTTCTGATTTCCCACGCGCGCATCAGCAGCAGCAGCAGCGTTTGCGTCATCGCCAGCGTTGTCATTACTTTGGTGCGATCGTTTTCATCAATACCATTATCGTCATTGTAAGCTCCGTTGTCTTCGTCTTCTCCATCGGCGCCACCACCGTCATCACCATCATTGCCCACTCTCCTGGGCCAAGTATCTGCATGAGATGCGGGTGAGCGGCTGGGAGATTTGCTCGAGCATTGGAGTTGGCGACGAGCAGTGGAGGTGCTCACGCGCGCTGCGGGCTTGTCAATTGCACCACGCAGACTGCACCGCATGCGTTACCCATTCAGAGAGCAATAACTGACAGTTTGGGGTCCACGCCCCCAAACATCATATACTTCTGTCACTTTGGAGTTCCTGGCGTCCGAAGGCTTCTAGTCTTGACCCAGAGGTCCCCAGGCAAAAAACAATTCGCTTCCAAAGGCTGCCAGGAACGGCCCAGATACCCCCGATATAGTTCAACATGTTCTTGGTTGGCATGTGAGATGGTCCCCAAGTGGCTCCACTACGACCCACGACTGCACCAAGATGGCATCAGGACGCCCCCCGACAGCGACCAGGCTCCCAAACAGCCTCACGAGGCCCCCATTGGCCCCAACGTAGCCCCGAGAGGCACTAAAATGCTTGAGAAGGCCCCTGGATAGTTCGCGAGTGCCTCATCCGGCTTAAGAGACTCCAAGCTACACCATTCTCCAAGGTTGCCCAGGATCGGTCCCCCTGGCACACCTCCCAGCGATAGCGTCAGAGCCAGGAGCAGCAGCAAGGAGCAGCCATCAAACAAAAAGCAGCAATCATCGGCAAGCAGCAGCAGCAGCAGCAGCAGCAGCAGCAGCAGCAATCGGCCAGACCAGCAGCAAGCAGCACCACGAGTTCGACAGCCGTCAGCTGCTCTTCAGACAGTCCAGCATGGAGCACGCTGCATGGATCTGAAACGGCCCCAGGGCATTCCCTCACCTAGCCAAGGACGATCCCAGACAGACGTGGCTGAACCATGTAAGTGGAGCAAGTCGCCTGCGGATTTTCCCTACGGGTACGCGCCAGTCTCTCATACATGGCGGGAGGGTACGTGCCGAATTTGCGGGGACTCAGGTGGTAAACTCGCCCCTGTACGGCCCCACCACGTGGTCGAATCGCCCACGAGGGCCCAAGAGGCGCCCCAGAGGGGTTGCACGACGGTCCAAGAGCGCTCCAAGACAGTTGCAATTGTTCCCGAGACGGGCCTCGAGGCCTCAAAGACCTGAGGAGGTGGCCCCAAAGACTCTCCGACAGGGCCCGAGAGGGCGCCAAAGAGGCAAACATGGTGACATTCCGATGGGAAAACGTACATTGTCAGCATATCCGCCTTTTGCGTTGTTGCACGGTCCAGGACAGACTAGCAGGCCCCCCCCCCCCAAACCCCGAAGACGACTCAAGCGGCCCAGCGCCAAGACGGTCCAATGGGGCCCTCAAACGGCCTGAGAGGGCCCCACGACGGCTCCAACAGGGCTCCAAGAGGGCCCGACGAAGTTCCCAAGAGGGCCCCAGGAAGCCCTCCAGAGAGCCCCAAGACGGTCCGCGGCCTCCGAGACGCCCCGTGACGGCCCAAACGGGCCCCAAGACGCCCAAAACGGCCACAGAACGGCCCAAAAGGGCCCCGAAGGGCCCCACACTTTCCCACACAAGTACCACTGAGAAGGCGAACAGACGCCAAATGTAAGAGCGATCGGTACAGCAAAAAGTTTTTCAATCCAAGTCTCCCAAGAGCGAACGGTGACACAGTAAGCTCTTCAACCCGAGGCTCCCGAGAGCGAGCCACAACATCAAAAACTATGAAACTGGAGCCCGAAGCTATCATCATCCCCTCAATTCTGGGACAAGTGCGTGGGCAAATCGCTTTCTCGGCCCCCAGCGGCGTCGACACTGCCTCCGGGTCCTTGTGGGCTCTGGGTCCTCAAGACATCGCAGAGACTGCCTTCGGTAATGTCCGAGATGGCCAGAATTGGCCCCGACAGCCGCCAGACATGGCCCCCGAAAGATCTCAAGCGGTTCCAAGAGGCCTCCAAAAGGTTCTCAGACGCCCCAAGACGCTTTACAGGAATTGTCCAGAAGACCACGGCAACTTCAAAGCTTTCCAGCACCCACAGGAAGATATATGTCTTTTGTTTCGCAGTCTTTTCGACGCGACACAGCTCCAAGACGGCTTCAGGGGACACTCTTGGCCTCCTTGCGGGCCACCTTGGGCCCTCTGGAGGCCCTCATCGAGCCTCCTGAGTTGTCTTCGGGGCCTCCTTGGGCCGTCTCGGTCCGTCTTCGGGCCGTCATTAGGGCACTCTGGACGGTCTTTCACTGCCTCAAGAGAGCCGAAGGGCGGTCCCAGAAGGCGGGCCCAACAGTTTCGGGCATAGGGCCCCCCAGCACGGCCTCCATATCTGGCAGCACACAAGCCAGCGCCAGCAGCGGCAGCAATTAGTAGCTAGCAACAGAAAACAAGCATCCGCTGAATTGCCCGCGGCCGGCTGGCGGCCATCCCCGCTGCCGTGGCGTGCGGCAGCGGGTCAGTTGCGACCACCAGGCTTTCCAGCATGCTGTCAGTGACGTCGGGAAAACAATTATCGGGCTAGCAGCTTTGCGCGCAAAGCAGCAGGCAAGCGATCTCAGCTTCTGCAAGCGGCTAAGCTGTCGTGGACGTAAGTCCACGGGTCAGCTCTAGTCAGCTACAACGCTGGGATCAGCGCGTGCGAGAAGGGTGGCCAGTGGCAGCGGGCTTTGGCATTGTTCAGCGATGTGCAGATGGCGAAGCTGGAGCTCGACTTCACCAGCTACAACGCAGCAGCAGGCACCAGGCCGCAGCACGCACAACACAGAACTGGTCATCAGCAGCACCCTGCAGCTACAAGCAGTAACAGCACGCAGCTGCGGTAAGCATTACCAACAGCACGCAGCAGTGGCAGCAAGCAGCAGCACGCAATACAGCATGTGCATCATGCGAAGCTCGAGCCCCACGCCGTCATCTCAGCCTTCCTGCAGCATGTCCACCACCACGCGTATAATTTCGTGGACGTAGTCCACCGGTCAGTCGTGCGAGATTGCGCTGCCCAAGCTCGGCCTGGGGCGGTTCCCGGCGCTCCTGGGGCGGTCCTGGACGGCCCTGGGCGGCCGCCTGGAGGCCCCAAGACGTCCAACGACAGCTCAGAGACGCTCCAGGGAGCGCCCAGAAGGCACCAGAGACCCCGAAGCGAACATCCAACTGCTCCACGACGGCCCCAAGACACGCCAGGCGGCATCCCACGACGGTCCAGGCGGACCCCGATTCTGACCCCAGAGGGCCAAAATCGTATGTCTCCCTGAGGTTTTTGTCGGATGTCCAGGTTCTCCCTATTCCGCAGCAAGAACGGCTCCGAACAGCTCCTACATCGCGCCAACATTGCCCAAGGCCCAAGAGACTCCCAGGAGAGGCCTTCGAGAGCGCACAACGCTCCCCAGACGACCCCAGAGCCACAAGTTTTCTCGAATAAGGCTCCAAGAGAGTCCCCACAGAGCCTTCCAGAGCCCCAACGACGCCCCCGACGGCCCTAAGGCGATTCTACACTGAGCTTCTTGGGCCGTCCCAAAGAAGAGGCTCTGGGGGACAACCCGGGAACGACCCCAGAGGCGCTTCCAAGACGGCCCCAAAGAGCTTGAAGTTCTCACGCAGAAAGCCCCAACAGAGTCCCCGAAGAGCCCTTCGGAGCCCCAAAGACGCCCTAGGAGGGCGCCAAGGCGCTTCAAATAAGTTTCCCGGGCTGTCCCCCAGAAGAGGCTGCTCTCGGTGGCAGCCCGGGAACCGCCCCAGAGTCGCTGTTGAATGCCGGAAGAGGCTTTCCAGACGCCACAGGCAGGCTCACAGGAGGACCCAGTCTGCCCCCGACACGGCCCCAGCGACATTCAAAATAACCTACGAGGGGCCCCTGCGGCCCCAGTTGGGCTCCCAGGAGGCCCGGAATGCCGGGGAGCCGATGCAGGAGCACGCGCAGAGCGTGCGCATTACCAAAAACTTCATGGCGGAGTACTGGTTTCGGGTCATGGTCGAGGACCGAGGCGCTCCTCTCACAGCCCCAGTGTGCGACTTCCGCGTTCAGCACACCGTTGATTTTTACCAGACGGATTCACACTAGTCTATACTACAATGCAGGGCCCCGCGCGAGCGAAAGAGACGATTCCGATCAAAATGGCGTAGCAGGCCCCCGCGAGCCCCAGCAGGCTCCGCTCCGGCGCGCTCCGAGACGCTCCAAGTTGGCCCAGAGCGCTCGGAGACGGCCCCGGAGGCCCCCACGAGGGCCCCAAGACGGCGCAAGAAGGCTCGAGAGGGCCTCCGAAAAAGTCCGAGAGCGCTCCAAGACGCCCAAGATAGCCTCCCGACGGCCCAAGAGGCCCCCCATGACGTTCCTAGTGGGCTCCAAGACGACCCCCAAGAGAGCCCGAACAAGGACAAATTGTCCCAATCCCCAGGGAAAGCATACATGTTAGCAATTCCCGCGCTTTTGAATCCGCAACGCGTTCAATACGGCCATACAGACCCTCAAGATCGCCCCGACGCGTCTCTGGAAGCCTCCATGACGGCACCGAGGCGGCCCCACGGCGCCCACCGCATTTCAAGAGGCAGCCATGACAGCGCCGAGACGGTCCTAAAACGGCCCACGACGGCCCCGAGACGGTCCCAAGACTGCCCCAGAGGCCCCCAAGACGGCCCAAGGCGGCCCCAAGACGACCACGGCCCCAAGGCGGCCCAAGAAGCACCCACGACAGCCCAAGAGGGCCCCAGGAGGACCCCATGAGGCCCCCAGGAGGCCGACAAGAAGCGCCGAGAGGGCCCCAAACCGTTCCAAAGAGCCCCCAAGATGACGGCCCAAGAGGCACCGACGCCAGCCCCAAGAGCAGCAGAAGACGACCCAAGAAGGCTCCAAAACAGCCCAAAGGAGCCCCAGGAGGCTCCCAGACGCTCTGCACATTGCATGGCCCCGCGCGCGCATGGCCCAAAATGGCGTAGCAGGCACCCCAGCGGCCTTTGCGAGCCCCAGCAGGCCCAGGCGCGCTCCGAGACGCTCCAAGTTGGCCCAGAGCGCTCGGAGACGGCCCCGGTGGCCCCCACGAGGGCCCCAAGACGGCCCAAGAAGGCTCGAGAGGGCTTCCGAAAAAGTCCGAGAGCGCTCCAAGACGCCCAAGATAGCCTTTTTGACGGCCCAAGAGGCCCCCCCAAGACGCTCCAAGTGGGCTCCGAGACGAGCCCCAAGAGAGCACGAACCAGAACACATTGTCCCAATCCCCAGGGAAAGCGCACATGTGTGTAATTCCCGTGCTTTTCGTTTTCATAGCTTCGAAGAGGACAGTTCACGCCCCCAAGATCGCCCCCGGACGCCTCAGGAGCTCCCCATGAGGGCCCCAAGACACCCCAAGTCGGCCCTAGGACAGGCCAAGACGGCCCCAGGACCGCTCCTGAGGCGCTCACGACGGCCCATGAGTCACCCACGGCAACCCCAAGAGTTACCAAAGACGGCCCAAGACGGCGCCAAGCCGGCCCCAGAGGCGTCCAAGGCGGCCTCAGACGGCCCCATCACGGCCCGAGGGGCACCCAAAACGGCCCAAGAGAGCCCCAAGACGCCCCCAGGAGGCCGCAAGATGGTCCAGTGGGGGCCCCAGGAGGCCGAAAAGAAATCCCGAGAGGCCCCCAAACGGTTCCCAAGTGAGCGTTGCTCTCCTCCGTGGGCGAGTGTGCGAGCGAAAGAGCGCCGAATAATGAACAGCAACATGGGCGCTACTTCCCTTTACTATTGCCTCCCAGCTCCAGGGCGCCCTTCGCTGCTGCTGCCCAAGTGAGGCGAGATACACCAGAGGCCTCCAGGGAGCGCAGTCCCCAGCACAGTCTAATCCCAGAGGGGCGCGGAGACAGCGCCCAAAAAGACGTGGCTCCCTGCGCGTCCACAGTGAGTCCCCATTCGCAGTCCACCGTGCGACGTTTCAAGTGCCCTGGGGCAGCATCGATCACTCCCATGGGCACGAAAGCAGACAGCATCAGCGGCGGCACACAGCAGCAGCAAGCAGCGACAGGCAGCGGGTAGACCCACGCACCAAGCGGAACTCGCCATCAGCAACAACCTGCACCCACAAGCAGCAAGAATACGCAGCAGCGGCCTTAAGCATTATCAAGAGTGCACAAAAGCGGCAGCAAGCAGCACCACACAGTAGCATGCGCGGAATGTGAGGTCGGGCCCCGCAAACAGATGCCAGTTCGTGCAGATTTCTTGGACGGAGTCCACGGCTTAGTGGGCCCTGGAAACGACAGGGCCGTTTTTTTTACCGGTTCCGTGTTACCGTCTTTCTGTTGGTTCCGACGCAGTTTTTTTACCGGTTCCGTCGCCGTTTTGTTGACCAGTTCCGGTTCCGGTTCCAATCCTGGAGACGTTTTTGTTGCCGTTTCCAGTCGCCGTTTTTTTTGCCGTTTCCATTTTCAAGGGACATGTTTTTGGAAACGGTGAAAAAACGGCCTTGCCGTTTCCGGGGCCCACTAAGGTCCACGGGTCAGTCCTACCGACATCGCCAGCCTTTTTCCAGTGCCCACATCCCACGACGAAGACCACCACCACCACCACGACATCGACGCCGACTACAACGGGTACGACGGCGGCCTCGCGGCGGCGACGACAACGACGCCGACCATGACGGCGACGACGGCGGCTGCGCGACGGCCAAGCTGCTGGAGCGCTGCTAGAGCTCGGACACGCAGACGCGGTCTCGCTGCCGCCGCCCCGGCCGCCGCCGTGCTTATAGGTTTTCGGCGAAATGTCTGCCGTTCCTCCGAGAACAATTCCAGAAAGATGTCGTGGACGGAGTCCACGGGTCAGCCTAAGTCTCTTCTACAATGCCAGAACCAGCACGTGCGAGAACGGCGCACCTTGGCAGCCTGGAGACTCCAAGGACGCCCACAGCGCCCCGAGACGGCGCCACAGAGACGGCTTCACAGGTCCCCATTGGACCCCAGCACGGTTGAAGAGGCCCGAAGACGCGTCGCAAGGTGCAATAGAGGGCCCAAGGGAGGACCAGAGAGGCGCCAGGAGAGGCCCAGGGCACACCAACAGCGTCGAAGAGGCCCGAAGAAGCGTCGCACGGTGCATAGCAGGGCCCAAGGGAGGACCCGCGAGGCGCCGAGTGGTGTGGCGGGGTAATCAGCTGGGGGAGACGGAGGGGGATTGCGGGACGGGGTGGACGTGATGCTGGCCGTGCTGGAGGCGCGCTGTCTTTGCCACCGCCTTGCGGCCTCTTCGTGTGCGACGAGGCAGGCGGGCGATATCCCGCCAACGTTGACGCTACGAGCATTGTCTCCGCGGCTTGCTTCAGCAAAGAGAGGCGCCTGGAGAGGCCCCAGATGAGTTGGCGTGCGGCCCGGAAGTTCCCCAAAAGAAAACCCCGAGAGGCCCCGAGGCTGCCCGACGGAGCTTCCAAAGACGGCCCACAGAGCCCCAAGAAGCCTCCAAGATGACCCCAGGAATGCCCGAAAGGACCCCGCTATGCCCCGACGGCGATCTATGCCAAAACGCTTCAAGATGGCCCGAGTCGGCCCCAAGAATACCGGAAAGGACCCAAATATGCCCCGACGGCGCCCTTTGGGGGGGGCCTTAGTGGACCCAAGGCGGCACCGAGAGGGCTTCAAGACCGCCCAAGAGGGACTTGAGCGAGTTGCGGGAGGCGAGAGTGGAGCCCGACAGGATCCCTGTTCTGATGCAGTGCGTGCGAGAGCAGGGCACGTTGGAACTGGAACGTCCAGGACAGCGCCCGCCAAGAGGTTTCAAGGATCGGTCCAAGCGGGCCGGCGAGATGACCCCAGAAGGGATTCAGAGAGCCCCAGATGCATCCAGGGCGGCCCCAGGACGGCCCAAAAAAGACACCCGACGACGACCCCCCGAGACAGGGCGTGGCAACCCCAAATGGCGCAAGAGCTCCGAGGCGTTTCAGAGCACCGCCAGGTGTCCCCAAGGTGCCGCCAATCCCATTCTGCAGTCCCAAGAGGGCTACACGCATCGAGCACCTGACATTAACAATGTTTTTGGCCTCCTCGCCTTTCCGGCCCAAGACGTCCTCGTAATGACTGTGTCGCCTGCTGGCCCTGAGTTTCAGCCACGGGGCACCCTATTCAGCTACGAAGCTGGAGTCGGCGCGTGCGAGAAAAGCGAACGTGACGTGCACGTGTTGTTGTTGCTCAGCGACTAGGTAGCTGAGTGGCGTCTTGGTAGCTGAGTGGTACCTTCTCGTTTGCTTTGCTGGGCAAGCTTGTATTCGACAGCTTCACTTCAATAGTTTGATCGTTTTCGTCATGGTCGGTCCCGGTTGGGTCTGATGGGGCTCCGACACATGTCGGCGCGTCGAGGATATGGTCGACTGCCCGCCCAGGCAGGCCCACTCGGGTTTCGCCGCTGGTCGGAGGGTGCGAACCGTGGCGAAGCAGGGGGGCCGCCAGGAGGGCCCGCCAGGAGGGCCTGCGCTTTCCAGAAGTCCAAGGGGCTTCCAAGTTCACCGAAAATGCTTCCAATACGGCCGAGGATGGCTTCAAAGAGGCCCCAGATGGCGCCCAGACGGCCGCAGAGGGCCCTAAGATAGCCCAAGACAGCCTCCAAACGGCCGAAAAGCTTTCCAAGGGCCACCAGGACGATCCAGAAGCACTCCCAGCAGTGCCTCCTGGTGCAAACGTCCATTTTTGTTTTTTTGGTGTAAACAACAACTCAGAAACAACAACATGTGTTTAGCATACACTTTGTTTGGCCCCTTACAGCGTCGACGGCGGCCCAACAGCCCCCAAGGTCGCCCCGAACCCGCCCAAGATGTATCCCAAAAGAGGCAGCTCGATGGTGGCCCCAAGACGGCCCCAGAGAACCACAAGACGGCCCAAACGGCGCATTAGACGACCCAGAATTGCCCAGAGATGGGCCACTAGACTCCCAGGTGCATCCCAAGGCGGCCCCAAGAGCGCTCCCAGAGAGCCCGAAGAGGCCCCCCAACGGATGCTACAGCGCACCCCCCCGTTGTGTTTTCTTGGGGGCCCTCTTGGGGCCGTCTTCGGGCCCCCTGGAACCTCTCTTGGGGCAACATTCGAGGGCCTCTTGGTGTTCCCAGGACATCCTTTAATTTCTCACGACGGCCCAAGAGAGCTGCAAGACAGCTCAGGGAAAGCCCCAAGACGGCCCAAGAGGCGCCCAAGCCGACCCAAGATGGCCCAGAGATGGCCCCGCCGCGTTCCCCTGCCAGGGCACCTGCAGGTGTGCCCCACAGGTGCACATTATTCGTCTATCTATCCTACAATGCAGCGTTCACCGCTCCCCGGATTGGCGAGCAGCGGAAGCGAAGCGGCCCCCTCCAGGCCGCTCCTAGCGGCCCCCGGGCGCTTCGAGCCGCCCGGGGCGGCCCTCGGGGCCGCCGCCGAGCCTTCCGAGCGGCCCCGAGCGCGCAGCGGACGGTCCAAGACTGCCCCAGATCGACGCGGCACGCCCCGCGGACGGCTCCAGGACCCCACGAGCCCTGAGACCCCCCAAAGGGCCCCCACAAGCCAACAAGTCGCCCCAATCCTTATGGAATACGTACATGTTTGGCAGACTCGCTTTTTGGGTCGGCAGAGCATCCAAGACGGCCGGGTGAGCCTCCAAGACCGCCCCAACACTGCCCCAGAGGCACCCAAGAGCCCGGAGGGCACGAAAAGGCTCCTAGGAAAGCCCCGAGAGGGCCACAGGAGGCCCCCAAGAGAGTCCAAAACGGCCCCACGAGGGCCCCAAGACAGCTCGAGCCTTCCCAAACAGCCCAAGAGGGCCTCAGGACGGCTTCAGAGTCCTGAGACGGCCCAAGAGAGTCCCAAACGGACCCCTCAAGAGGCTGCCCAAAGAGCCCCAAGTGGGCCACGGGAAGCGCCGCCAAGACGGCCCGAGTGACCCTGCCGATTACGGGGAGTTCGACGCTCGAGCCATACTTACCTCGTCACCTCCACACCACCCACGAGGTCCCCAAACGCTTCCCAAGGGGCCCACAGCGCCGTCGCCTTCCGCCGCGCCACCGTCATCGTCGTCGTCGTCGCTGCCACTGCTTACGTCCAAAGCGGTGCGCTGCTGGAGAACGGGCTCACGCCATGTGGATAGTCTTTCGGCAGCGTTTCCGCCGCTCCCCCCTAGAACCATTTCGGCAGGACGTCGTGGACGGAGTCCACGGGCCAGCCCTAGTCTCTACTACATTGCAGGGCCCAGTGCGTGCCAGAAGGGCGCAGACTCCAATGAGTCAGAACCGCCCCGGGCTGGCCCCAGGCCGCTCCGGGCCGCCCAGGCAGGCTCCAGGACATGTCGAGAGGGCCCCCAGAAGCCCCCAAGACGGCCCCGGAGAGCCCCGGCACGCTTAAAGATGGGCCCAAGACGCCCGAGATTCGCCCCAGACGGCCCAAGAGGCGTCCAAGACGCCCGAAGAGGCCTCCCAAGAGGCCTCCCAAGAGGGCCCCGAGCGACAGAAATCGTCGATTTCTATTGTGTTTTTCGATGTTTTCGGCCTCCTCGCCTCTTCGGCTTCCCGACGCTCCAAGACGGCCCAAGAAGTCCCCCCGACCGCTCCAAGACGGCCGAAGAGGACCCCAAGAGAGCCCCAAGACGGGCCAGGAGGGCCCCAAGACGGTCCCAAGACGCCCCAGGACGGCCCCAGGACGGCCCAGGAGGCGCCCAAGACGGCCCAAGAGGCACCCAAGACGGCCCCAGGAGCGGCCCAAGACGGCCCAAGACAGCCCAAGAGGCGCCGAGGCGGGCCTCAGACGGCCCCAAGACGGCCCAAGAGGCACCCAAGACGGCCCGAGAGGGCTCCAAGAGCCCCCCCGGGAGGCCCAAAAGAAGGCCGAAGAGGCTCCGAAACGGCCCCCACGAAGCCTTCAGTGGCTTCAGAATTCCTTCCAGGAGCGGGGGAGCGGACGAGAGGCGACAGACCCTCTGGGCGAACAGAACAGGACATGGCGAACAAACCCTCCGGTTGGCGGTGATGCGACTGGATCGCACCATCAAGGCGCGCCCGGAGGTGATGGCCGACCCAACAGCGGTTTCTCTTAAGAGTTCACTGGATTTCAATTTTTCTTGACGCTCTCTTGGGCCCTCCCTGTAGATCCTTGCGAGCCTCCCCGGCGCTTTCGGTGGCTTTCCCCGATGGCCTCCCGAGCCCTTCCCCGAGCGCTCCTGAGACGCCTCAGATGGGCTTCGACTTCGACGCACATCCCCGAGAGACTTCGAAACTGTCCTCAATAGGAGGGGGGTGAACGAGCAGTGCGCTGGGCCAAGCTGCTGCAGCGCTGCAAGAGCTCGGACACGAAGGCGCGGTCTCGCTGCCGCCGCCCGAGCCGCCGCCGTGTTTGTAGATTTTCGGTACAATCTGCGCCGTTCCTCCGAGAACCATTCCAGAAAGATGTCGTGGACGGAGTCCACGAGTCAGCCCTAGTCGGCTACAGCGCTGGGATCAGCGCGTGCGAGAAGGGCGTGCAGTGGCAGTGGGCCGTGGCGCTGCTCAGCGAGATGCGGGAGGCGAAGCTGGAGCTCAGCGTCATCTGTACTCCGATGCTGGCGCCACCGCGTTCCAATGTCAGAAGGACGCTCGCCCAAGTAAACCAATATCGGCCCGGCTGGCACAGACGCATCCCTGGGCGCCCCCAGAACGCCCCAAGACCGCCCAGTGTAGCTGCCTGCGGGCGTATTGCCCCAGGAAGCGCCGCCCACCACCCCCAAGCGGGCCCCCGACACGATCACGGAGCCCCCCAAACACCCCCCAGGATCTCGCCGACTATATTTGTGCACTGTTCTGCGCTAGCGCCTACCGAGGCGTCGTCGCTCCTCGACCGAGGAATGGTACGGCTTTTGTCTTCGGCCCTCAGAGGCGATAAGAAAGAGCGCGCCCGTCGCGACCGGAATAAGAAAAGAGGGGCCCCAGCTTCAAGCTATCCCCCCCCTTCCTTCCAAAAGGGGGGGAACTTCCGAAGCTACCCCCCCTCCCTTTCGCAAGGCTTTCTAAGCTGGGGGGGCTCTGGCTCAAGGGCTGGGGGTGCTTCGAAAGTGCCCCCCTCCCCCCCTTTTTTGGAACAGAAGGTGAGCCCGGGCTTACCTTTCAAGGGGAGGGGGGGGGCTTCGGAAGCTATCTCCCCTCCTCCTTCCTTTCTTGGTTGGGACACAGGGGGGGCGGCTTCAAGCTACCCCCCCTCTGTGCAAAGGGGGGGGTCCGAAGCTACCTCCCTCCCCCCTCCCTTCCGGGGCTCTGGCAAAATGGCGGAATCCCTGACGACAGGTGCGCACTGCAGTGCTGGAGAACGAATTGGAGAATAACGTCGATTCCTGGTTCGTGTTCTTGTTTTCTTGTTTTCTCGGCCCCTGGTTCGTAGTCTCGTTTTCTCGGGCCTTGCTTCGTTTTCTAGTGTTCTTGTTTTCTTGTTTTCCTTGTTTTCTCGTGTTTTCGGCTCCTGGGTCGCGGTCTCGTTTTCTCTGATCCTGGTTCGCGTTCTCGTTTTCTCGTTTTCTCGGCGCCTGGGTCGTGGTCCAGTTTTCTCTGACCGTGCTTCGTTTTCTCGTCTTCTCTGCCCCTGGGTCGTGGTTTTGTTTTCTCGGGCGCTGGTTAGTATTCTCGTTTTCTCATTGTCTCGGCCCACGGGTGGTGGTCGTGTATTCTCTGACCCTGCTTCGTTTCCTCGTTTCTTCATTTTCTCGGCTCCTGGATCGTGGTCTCGCTTTCTCGAGCCAAGCGTTTTCTGGCGATCTCGGCCCCTGGGTCATGGTTTCCTCGGACCCTGCTTCGTTTTCTCTTTTTCTCGTTTTCTAGGCCCCTGGGTCATGGGTCGTTTTCGCGTTTTTTATTCCCTCGGATCCTGGGTCGTGGTCTCGTTTTCTCGGGGCCTGGTTCGTTTTCTCGTGCTTTTGTTTCTAGGCCCCTGGGTCGTGGTTTCGTTCTCTCTGTTCCGGCTCGTCTTCTCGGCCCCTGGTTCGTAGTCTCGTTCTGTCGGCCCCGAAGTCGTGGTCGTGTTTTCTCGGACCCTGGTTCGTTTTCGCGTTTTCTATGCTCTTCGGTCGTGGTCTCGTTTGCTCGGATTTTGGTTTGGTTTCTCGTTTTCTCGTGTTCTCGGCCCCTGGGTCGTGGTTTCGTTATTCGGACCCTGGTTCGTTGTTTTGTTGTCTCGCTTTCTCGGCTTTTGTGCTTTTGTGTTTTTGTTCGGGCCCTGGTTCGTGATCTCGTTTTCTTGTTTTCTCGGTCCTGGGTCGTGGTGTCAATTTTCCTCGGACCCTTGTTAATTTTGTTTTTCTCGTGTTCTCGGCCCCTGGGTCGTGGTCTCGTTTTCTCTGACCCTGGTTAGTTTTTTGTTTTCTCGGCCCCTGGGTCGTGGTCTCCTTTTCTCTGACCTTGGTTCGGCTTCTCGTGTTCTCCGTATCTCGGCCCCTGGATTGTGGTTTTGTTTTCTCTGACCCTGGTTTGTTTTCTCGTCTTCTCGTTTTCTCGGCCCCCGGGTCGTGGTCTCGTTTTCTCGGGCACTGGTTCGTTTTCTCGTTTTCTCTTTGTCTCGGCCCCTGGGTTGTTGTCTCGTTTTCTCGGCCCCTGGTCCGGTGTCTTGTTTTTTTGTTTTGTCGGCCCCTGGGTCGATGTCTCGTTTTCTCGGTGTCTGATTCGCTGTCTTGCTTTCTGTTGTTATAGCCCCCTGAGTCGTGTTTTTTTCTCGGACTCTGGTTCGTTTTCTCGTTTTCTTTGTTTTTTCGGCCCCTGGCTCGGACCCTGGATTGTTTTAACGTTTTCGCATTCTGTCTGCCCCTTGGTTGTGGTCTCGTTTTCTCGGACCCCGTTTCGTTTTCTCGTTCTATTGTTTTCTCGGCTACTGGGTCGTGGTCATCTCTTTTTTTGACCCTGGTTCGTTTTCTCGCGTTCTCGGCCCCTGTGTCGTGGTTTGGTTTTCTCGGACCATGGTTCGTTTCCTTGTTTTCTCGTTTTCTCTGCCCCTGGGTCGTGGTCGCGTTTTTTTTTCTGACCCTGGTTCGTTTTCTCGTTTTCTCGGCCCCTGGGTCGTGGTCTCGTGTTCTCTGGCCCTGGTCCGTTGTCTTGTTCTCTTGTTTTGTCGGCCCCTGGGTCGATGTCCAGTTTTCTCGGACCCTGGTTCGTTTTCTCGTTGTCTCGTTTTCTCGGCCGTTGGGTCGCGGTTTCGTTTTCTCTGACCCAGGTTTGTTTTCTCGTTGTCCGTTTTCTCGGCCCCTGGTTCGTAGTCTCGTTTTCTCGGGCCCTGATTCCTTTTTTCGTTTTCTCGTTTTCTCTGCCCCTGGGTCGTGGTCTCGTTTTCTAGGACCGATATTCGCGTTTTCTCGGCCTGGGTCGTGGTCTCTTTGCTCGGACCTTGGTGTGCTTTATTGTTTTCTCGTGTTCTCGGCCCCTGGGTCGTTATCGTGTTTTCTCGGATCCTGGTTCATTATCTCGTTTTCTTGTTTTCCTGGCTTCTGGGTTTTTGTCTTGTTTTCTCGGGCCCTGGTTCGTTATTCTAGTTTTTCTCGTTTTCTCGGCCCTCGGGTTGTGATCTCGCTTTCTCGGGCCCTGGTTCGTTTTCTCGTTGTCTCGTTTTCTCGGCCCCTGGGTCGTGGTTTCGTTTTCTCGGGCACTGGTTTGTTTTCTCGTTGTCTCGTTTTGTCGGCCCCTGGGTCGTGGTCTCGTTTTATCGGACCCTGGTTCGGTTTCGCGTTTTCTCGGCCCCTGGGTCGTGTTCGCGTTTTCTCGGACCCTGGTTCGTTTTTTTTGACCCTGGTTTGTTTTCTCGTTTTCTCGGCCTGGGCCGTGGCCTCGTTTTCTCGGGCCCTGCTTCGTTTCCTCGTTTCCTCGGCCCCTGGGTCGTGGTCTCGTTTTCTCTGTCCCTGGGTCGTCGTCGTCGTCGGTCGCGCTTCGTCCGTCGTCCGTCGTCCGTCGCTGTCTTCGTATGACCTCGTCCTTGTCGTGACGACCACGACGAGGTCATGCGAAGACGGCGACAATGACGGCGACGGCGGCGACAACGACGACGAGGACGACGACGGCGTCGTACGAAGACGTCGAGCGACGGCGACGGCAACGAGGACGGCGACGGGGGAGGATCGTCTGGCGGGGGGGTTCAAGGGAGGGGGTGGTAGCTTCCAGAAGGGGGGGTTCAAAGGGGGGGGGTACCTAAGCTCTCTCACTTTGGTAAGTGGTAGAGGGGGGTGAGCTTCCGGAGCGGCAAAAGGGGGGGAGGGGGGGTAGCTTCCGGGGGGGGGAACACAAAAAAGGGGGGGTGGGGGGGGGGTCCCGGCAGAGGGGGCCAAAGGGGGGGGGGGAGCTAAGCCCCCCACCCCCTTTGGAAATGGGGGGAGGGGAGGGGAGCTTCCAACCGCCGAAAGGGGGGGATGGGGGGGTAGCTTCCAGGGGCGGACGAAACAGGGAGGTGGTGGGTAGGTAGCTTCCAGCAGGGGGGGTTCAGGGGAGGGGGGGGGGTAGTTGAGGTGGGACCCCCCCCCTTGCTCCATCACTGTGGGCGCGCTCTCTCAAAGACAATGCACCGTACCCCGATGGAGCGTGGCCTGAAGGGAGTCTCGGTACGGTGCACGGGCGCATTTCGTGGCGCCAAAGCAGTTCCCGAGAGGCCCTTAAGAGCACATATATTCAGAAACACATTGTTTGGGGCCCAAGATGGCTAGCATGTGATACCACGCACATTTCGGCAACAGATGGATCCAATAATGGCACCCGACACCTGCAGCAGGGCCCAAGACCTCCAAGATAGCCCAATATGGGCCCAGCTAGTAACCAGTGTCCGAAGTGGTTCCGTAGCGGCCCCAAGACGGCCCAAGACTGCCCCAACGTGAATTCACAGCGCCTCCCGACCATCCCCAGACCCCCCCAAAAAATAGCGCCCAGAGCTCCAATGGACGCCTAAGTGGCCCCTGGAAGGCCCCACGTGAGTCCAAGAAGCCACAAAGAAGGTCACAAGTTGGCATCGACAGGGCCCCATGAGCGACCAAGACGAATCAGATGCTCGGCCACACGTGCGCGCGTCGAGGCCACTGGGAGATTCGCGCGCAGTGGCCGCTTGTCAAGGAGCCCCCCCCGGAAGCTCCGAAATCGCAGAGAAGGTCCCAAGGTCGCTTCAGCAGGGGGGGGACCCAAGAGGAATCGCGTGCCCGCCGCGCCTCCATCCCGGCCCCTCCCTCGTACATATTTGGGCCACTCGGGTGCGCTGGCCTGGTTGGGTTTCAGGAGGCGTTGGCGTGGATGTCAACACATCTTGGCTGCTCGCACCTCCCATCTCCCTTCTCCCTCCTTCGGTGCCCCTCCTCTGTCCTTGCCCCTCTCTCACTTGCCGTCGACTCTCCCCTCGCCGGTCCTGGCTCCCACGCTTCTCCTCCCTCGATCCTGACTCCTCGCTCCCTGCTCCTTCCTCCTCGCTCTCCGACGCTCCCACGAGCAGGAGTTTGCCCCATCCAGCAGGAGCAAGCAGGCGCAGCACCCTGCAGTATCAGACGGTAACGGCAAAGAACAGCACGAAGCAAGTATCAGCAGCAGGGTCCGCACGCAACAGCGATAGCAAGTAGCGGCGCGCAGGAGCAGACACGGATCACCAACCTGCACGAATGATGACTTAGGCACAGCAGTGCCAGGACGCACCGAGCAGCAGCACGCAACGGACAACACCAGTCCGCAAGACGGCCTCCGGACAGCACACTGCGGTTTGCAAGTTGCTTCGAGACAATTCCAGAGGGCATTCCGACCTTCGATGGAAGGCAGGAGCTCCACGATGACCTGGAGATTCCGCACGAGAACCCATGAAGATCTTCCTACAGCCTTTTTGAGTTTTCAGGAGAGTTCCAGGATGACGCCCCTCTGGCCAAAAAAGTAGTGCCCCGGAAGGATATCTTTGCTCGTCCCTGCCCCAGGGGCTGTCGGAATGCCCGCGATGCTCCCACGATCGCTCCACGGACAACCGAGAGGCCCCACTGTTACCACAGTGCCAGCAAGCAGCAACACTAGCAGCAGCACGTAGGAGCTGCTCGCATCACCAGCAACGCAGCAGCATGGAGCAGGCAGCATCAGCCCTCACTAGCACAAGGCTGCACGGGCAAGCCTCAATCAGCATCAGCAAGCTGAGGCAACAATCAGCACCAGCAAGTGGCAGCGGCGAGCACTAGCAGCACACAGCAATAGCATGCAGCAGCACGCAGCAGCAGTCAAGCAGTATCAGGCAGCACCGAACTTCAGCACGCAGCACCATTAAGCCGCAGTAGGAAGCCCAGTGCACCAGCAAGCACTGGTTAGTTTTGGCACGTAATGGCAAGCAGCAGCAATCGACACTGTGCAGCGGCAAGCGGCAGCACACCTCAGTGAGCGGACGAGCAAGCAACGCAGCAAGCGACGAGTAATTTCAAGCGATCAGGCCATGAATTGCAGGCCACCAAGCTGGCACCCCCAACAACAGGTTTGAAGACAGGGTGCATGCGAGTAGTTCAGACTTTCTCGCCGCTCAGAGGATTCCGATCAGATGAGTCCGAGTACCGTGGACGCAGTCCACGTGTCAGCCCTAGTCAGCTTTAGCGCTGGGATCAGTGCGTGCGAGAAGGGCGATCAGTGGCAGCGGGCTCTGGCGCTACTCTACGAAACGTGGGAGGCGAAGTTGGAGCCCGACGAGGTGGACCCGGGTAGCTCAGAGGCAGATGGAGGGCCCCAGGAGGTCTCCTTGAACGGTCGCTGAGGTCTCCAGAAATCTCTGATGACAGCCCAAGATGCCCCCATGAGGCACCAACTTGGGTCAGGCAGGCCCCACCAGAGGCTGCACGTGGCTCCATCATGGCCAGCGCGGCGAACATCATGAATCTTCCATGAGTCTCGCACGTGTTGAACCAACACGCAGCTTTTTGGTTCAAGGCGTCCTGAGACGTCCCTAGCATCAGGCCGCTTCCAAGAGGGCCCACAAGAGCCCTCAGGAATGCCTATAATCTCAGACGGCCTGGGCTGGCGTCCAAGATGGCCCCCATTCGGCTTCGACGCAGTCCAAGGCCGCACCGATACTGCCCCATATCCCCGGATACGCCCTCGAAGCCCCAGACCCCTGGGGCACCCGAGATGGCACCGAGACGCCCCCACAGAGGGCCAAACGCGAGCCTTCGAAGGCATCGACAGCGCCCTACGAGGGCACCAATACAGGACGAGCAACAGATCGCAGCACTCAAGCGGCAGAGCCAGCAGCAGCCGAGCTAGCAGCAGCAGCCAGGAGAGGCAACCGGCAGCAATCAGCCGCAAGCAGTAGCAGCAAGCCCAGGGGAGCTCAAAGTCAGCAGCAAGAGTCCCACCGGTAGAGTACGAATGTTCAAGACAGGAAAGGCTAGGGACAGCAGCACGCATTCCAGCGGCACCAGAGCCCGCAGCAACACCAGGCGGGAGGGCGTCAAGTGTCACCCCGAAAGCCGTCAGACTGCATCTCCTTACTCACGTGCCAGTCCAGACAGGTTCGTGGACGGTAGTCCACGGGCCACCCCTAGTCATCTACAGCGCTGGGATCAGCGCGTGCGAGAGAGGCGAAAAGTAGCAGCGGGCTTTGGCGCTGCACGGCGGGAAGTCGGAGGCGAAGCTTGAGCTCGGCATCGTTTGCGTCAGTGCGTTTGGGTATTGCGCAAAGTGGCAGCAGGGCTCTGGTGCTGCTCAGCGAGATGCAGGAGGCGAAGCTGGAGCCCAACGTCATCAGCTGCAGCGCTGGAATTCGTGCTTCCGAAAACCCCGCACAGCGGCGGCGGGCTCTCCCGCATTCCACAGAGAGATGCAGAGCTTGAACATGGAGTACAACGCTATCGCCAGTGAGAACGTCATCGTCAGAGCCTGCGAGATGGCTGGGCATAGTGCTGAAGTGATGCCGCTTACCAGAGAGATAGAGACATGGACCACCATCGCGGTATGACTTGTGGGCGCTGGCTGGAAGCGTTGTCGAAGGCCAGGGACATAAGCTACTTTTCAGGCATCAGCCGGTGAGAAGGCCTACCCCTTCTCTAGTGCCCCCTGGCGCGCCGCCGACACCAGGAAAGAAACCATGGCGATGTGCGCACTACCTCAGTCAGTGTGGCATGGTGCGCAGCGCGGCAGAAGCAAGTGGGCGCCTAAAGTAGTTCAGACCCAGGCAGCCTGGCACGCAATAATCAACACACGGATGCTCGTTTCTTGATCTTGGCCCGACTCACGCAGACGCTTAGCCACCCACGTCGACGGCTGCTGCGCGAAGGCCCGCCCATCACCGCAGGGTCGCACGCAACGTCAGCCCGCTTCCGTGTACAAGTGCACAGAGTCGCTGCATCAGGGGCGGCTCTCATCACGGAGAGCCAATAACACCGTAACTTGCGATGCTTGGTTACAGGTGCGCTTCCCTGACCTCCCTGAGCAACGTGTTTCTCCCGTCTTCCGCCCTCCTGAGACCGCTGCTTGCTCGTCCGCCACTCGCCCAGCGGCGCAGGAGATTGTTGACATACCTTTGGCTAGGCTGGGCTCGCATCCCTCAGTCCTCGCACTCGTCCCTGCCTCCTCATCGTCCTCATCCTCAGCCCCCTCGATGCAGGAGCTCCGAGCTCCTCCAGAAACTCCTGGATGCCCTCTCCTGTTTCCTTGCCATTCTCCTCCCTGCTGTCTCTGCATCCTTTCCCCCTGATCCTCTTCTGTCCGCTCTACCATCCTTTCCTCCACTGTCCTTCCTCTTCTCCATTCCCCCTCCTGCAGCCTCCTGTCTCCCTCACCATCCTCATCCTCGTGCTCCTCCCTGCCTTCGCCTCCCCCGCTCCCTCCACTCTCCCCTCTTGTTTCTCCCTTCTCCCCCCCCCTCTCCTTCCGCCTCCTCCTGAGATTGTGTTCGATTTGAAAGCAGCCTACCTGAATATTCTAGCAAACAATCAGCTGAGAGATTGGGCCTTCCTGAAGGCTTCTTGAAACTAGCTTCATGTCGGTCTCTGATGTCGCCTCCAAGCGCTTTGCAGGATTCGGAAAGAGCCATGTTGATGGCATATGGTACGCAGTATGCCTGGCCAAAGAAGAGACTGCCGCAGTTGGGCTACTTTGTCGATGCTATCCCATGTCCCGTGCGCCATGCTGCGGCTGATGGCCTGTATCATCGTTTCTTCGGGTGTTCGGCCACGTTCGGAATCAGAGACGAGCTTCTGCCTTTCATAAGATTTGGAGTGGATCAACAGATAAGATGATAAGAACCCTCTCATGCTTGGGTTCCAGCTTGTACCCGATCAGGTTTGCTCTCCTCCAACCGGATTCGGACACGACGACGTTATGTTCAGTTGCGTTGGCCCGAACCTTACCTCTCTGTTGGCCGTTGGTAGCAGGAGATGTTATACGGACGCGTCCTTCTGCAAGGATGGCCGCAAAGTGCCTCATGTAATAATCATGTTGAGTGGGCTTGTGTCTGCCTGCACCCGAATAAGGGGAGCCTGTCGCGGTGCTGTCTGGGAAAGTAGGCTCCAAGCTGTAGCAAACTAGTCCAGCTGCTGAGCACGTGGGCCTCTTAGCTAGTTTCGCTCATGCCTGCTCGGCGTCGGGAATGTGCACGGAGTTCGAAGGACTACTGGGACTAACCACAAGAGCGCGTGAAGCTGTATGTATATGATTACGCTGGTGTAGATAGGTTGCCTTCCCCAGGAGTTCGGAAACTCCAGTATCCGAGGTCAAGGGCCACCTGACAGCGGAATCGTTGAGCCGCTTCTGACGATTGGCACCAGACTCGAGGAAACCATTGGGCGGGCACTCAAACTAAGGCGGCGGCGGTGCTGCCTTTTGTTGCGAAGGCTCTCACGCACTGGCCCCAGCAGGCCCCAGCCAGGCCGGACCGAACGCTGGCAAGAGGAGGCGCCGCCCCGGCCAACGCCGCCAGAGCTGCCTCTGCCGCCTGCGCTGACAGCAGGTTCGAGGTCCTGGGCAGGGCTGCCGTGGATGTTACCAAACCACGCCCTCCTTCTTCCTCCCCCGCCCTCCCCCCCTCTCAGCGGTTTTGCCAGCCCCCCAGGGCCACGAGTTTCGGTCGATCCGGAATAGATGATCGTGCGATACGTGCCTCACCCGCGTGCGCTCGGAGCCTCTTGCCCTCTCCTTCGGCTGCATGGGTTCTAATGCCTCCCTGCGAGCCGTGATGCAAAAGACCCACGCCCAGCGCCTGATTTTGACGGACTGCCCTGATGGGGTCACCCTGCACTGCGTGTACGGCGTGCGGCTCTCTCGATGGAGCGGTTAGCCAAGGAAGCTTCGCCCGCGGATGCAATGGCGGGCCAACGTCCGTTCACCCCAAGATCAATCTCAGCCGCATCCGTCGCGGGGTCCATCATGACCACCTGCGTAGGGATACGACCATTCTTCGAGTGAGAAGGACGTTGGGGGAAGAACTAACAGAGGACGACTGCAATGATTGCGATGGTGTCGGTGCTGGTGATGCGCTCACGAGCTGGGGACGATGCAAGACGACGATGCTGACGACAATGCATGTTGGCAATGGGCTAACCCACGGGACACCGCCAAGACACCGACGGTACATGGACGGGACACCACGGCAGGACACCTCCGGCCACCTCCCGCGAACATCGACGGGACACCACGGCGGGACACCATGGCGGGACATCGAGGGACACCATCGACGGGACACCCCGGCAACGCCGGCCCACCGGAGGGGCGCTCTTGTCTTGACCCGCCCTCACCGCAGCGGGGTCATTCCTGTCGCCCGCCCATGTAGCGTTGCCTCGCCCGCACGCGCGACACGAACGCAAAACCGAAACCGATTTCCTGGTGTGGGGTTCTCCGTTCCACGTCGATCTCACCCCTTAGCCCCCGATCCCTCTCGACGAGTTGGTGTTGCTTGTATAGCTCACTGACGCTTGGGAAGGCTGTGCTCCTCAGACTGCGGCCGGGGGGGGGCCTACCCACTGGGTCTTCTGCTCCCGCTGTGCAGGGCGCAGGTGCCCTGGTGGTTTTCTCCCCACTTTCACGGCCTAGCCTTCTGCGCTGAGATGTGCCTAATCTAATCCTCCTCCTCTTCCTCCTCCGCCTCCTCCTGAAGCATCGTGTTGTGATGATGGACTTTGCACCGCCTACGCCTGCCACGCTTGTTGGGCGCCTGTCGGACCTGCTCGTTGACTGTGATGTCGGGGAGGTGGTGACCCGTGTTGTGACTTCGTGCTTGGCGACGGTTGGGGGCCCAGTGGCCCAGTTGTACCAAACTGCGCCGTCTGTCTTCTACATCGCGTGGTTGTACTTCGCGTCCCTCCAACCCATCCAGACGCCTACACTGGTGTCTCGGATGCCTCATCTTGTATTCGTGCTCAAGTTCTTAGAACGCCAAGTCCTGGAGATGGCCGCCCAGGCGTTATATCGACGTGTGCTGGACGGACAAGAAGCCCTCGTGGCTGCAAGGGCGTTAGGTCGCAAGTCCCGTTGTCGTGTTCTGGCTCAGCGTCGCCTTCGTCGTCCCAGGGACGGCCTCCTGGTTTCACTGTCGCCACGTGAAGGGGCTGAGCTAACGCGTGATGGTACTGGAGAGTGTCTTGGTGGTGCGCTCTCTACCGTGCTGCTCGCCGCCTATGCTCCTTTGACGGCGGCTGTTGCTGCTGCTGGGTCGTCGCACTCCTCAAGCGACCCGCAACACATGAAACTCCCTCCAGCCTGCGGGCCGCAGCCCCTGAGCCAGACCGAGGTGGACACGAGCATGCGCTGGCCGCGCCCAGCCGCCGTTGCGTTGGCTAGGCCACGCGCAGGGGTAGCCCGGCGCCTGCACAGGGGTAGCCCCGCGCAGGCCCACCAGATTCGGAGGACGACGACGACGAACACACGAGCACAGAGGGGGGGGGGCGGGGCGAACGACGAGACAACAGGGGAGAGGCAAGAAACGCAGGGCCCATGCTTCCTGTGCATGGCGGCAGCGACGCCATTCCCTGAGCCCTGCAGCAGTGCCGCCGTTCCCTAGGCCCGCGAAACGAGAGGGGGGTGGGCAGGAAGAGGAGGAGCAGACAAAAAACAGACGTGGGCGTGTACTGAAGGGAGGAAAGCAAAAAGAGGAAGCAGCAGGAGCAGCAGGAAGCAAGCCGAGGCGTACCACCCGTTCTGGATCCATCTTTGTTGCGAAACCTGCCTCAACTTGGGGACCTGCTAACACCACAGTGTCGCGCTGGAGCCGCCGAACACTAGTACCCGCCCTCGGGACCGACGAGTCCACGAAAAATGTTCGGGAATTGGCCAATTCCTGACGATCCTCTAATGCAATTCTTTTTGTTGGCTTCTCAGAGATCACTGATGCCTTCTGAGGCGGCGCTGCTGGGCTGTTGGCCGCCCGCATGTCGTCTCTCTCGCAACCTATCCCCCCTTGCTGCTGCCGCCCCTCAACCCATTCTGATTGAAAGAGCGGCTGCGCCGCCCATCGTGCACGCCGACGGCCACCTGCCCCTGTCCACCGCGGCAGGCGACGCGCCCGCGAGCTAGCCGCTAGCCGCCTGGGACGGACCCGCGGGTCCCCCCTTCGGTGGGTTCCTCCTCCTCCTCCCCCTCCTTCTCCCCCTCCTCCTCCTCCTCCTCCTCCTCCTCCTCCTCCTCCTCCTTCTCCTCATCCTCCTCCTCCTCCTCCTCCTCCTCCTCCTCCTTCTCCTTCCTACCCCCCCCACTCCCCCCGCCCTCCTCCATAGCCGCCTCCTCGACCCCAGGCGGTCCTGGTCCTCGCTGCGTACTGCGAGCGGGAGGGCCTTTGCGCCGACGAGGCTCCGGCGGAGGGGGCGGGCAGACGACGGCTCGCATCGCCGGACTTCGGGGA